ACCTTCAACTTCTTTGATAAAGTGGGCAAGTTTGCAAGTACGCGTTCGTTTATTAAACGTTACCACAGCGTTTTATGCAAATCATCCTCGACTTCCGTGGGCGCGCGCCCGATAACGCACATCATCACGCACACCGGTAACGTCACTGGCATTGGCGGTCGTTTGTCACCGGTGAAGCTGATGAAAAATACATGTAATAACAATGTGGAGGAAATATTGGAATTGCGTTAAAAAAAATATTCGATACTTTGAAGTTCACGAAGGAATTTTATTTGGTCGACAAGGATAGAAAGAGATTGGGATAGTATAGAAATATATTCGAGGAAATTCGTATATAGCCCGAAAATTTAGAATTTTGATGAAAGTTTTCGTACGTATGAGAGTATAATGGATTCTATCTACGTGGAGCAATTTTTTTCAACGAGAAATCTCTTCGAAGGGGTGAAACCTTTACCCTCAAACTTCCAGTATTCTTTTGTATTTTAATTAAAATTTTTATGTATATGTTCGTCGATATTTTCTGCAATAGAACGTTGCTCTATTTTAATTGGAAAATTAATATTTTTAAAAGAAAGGAAAAAGTATTGAAGTTTAAAGATCCATATATTTTTATTGTTGAAAATTTTATTTACATCATTTAAATATTTTTGTAGTCGATGATTATATAGAGAACTACATGTTTGTAGTACAAATTGTTTATTACATATGTATGGATTTTAACATATTCATGAAGTGATATAGATTCGGCTTAATTGCTCAATTCATTAAGCGTGCATTGGAAAATTATTCCTATGTAATCTGTTGTATGTATTTATGGGTCAAATGAATATGAATTAATTAACTTCAAATAATCATACATCATTTCTGTAAATTATAATGCAATCAGACAGAGAATTAATTAGAAAACAACAACAACATTTTCCCTTATGATAGATTAAAATGAAATTCTTAATACAATTGTAGAATTTTAATTTTCTCTTGAAATTATTTAAATTAATTATCATATCAATTACATTTATTATAACTGATTTTAAATATACGAAAATGTCATTAATCTCTTCTTTAAATCTAAATGAAAACTGAGTATGACTTAGGAAGAAAAATTTAAAATTAAAAAAGAAAAGAACAAAGAAAAAAAAACAAATTTATTCGCAAAATATTTATTTGGTGAACGATCTCAAAAGAACAAAAATGTGCAGAATTAGCTGTTCAAGCCCTGAAAGCATCAGTTTGGCACATTTTATATTCTCATGTTGACGTAGCGAATATTTGATGATACTTTGTCTGTAGTGCGAATGAAAAGAGAACAAACACCAAAAAATAATGCCTTTCGCATCACTGATTCCTTCTATCAACTTTTACATCCAACAGTCTGAGAGTTAACACTTTTACTATTAAAATGTAATATTTTCTCCATTTAACTTAATAGTGTTGTAATTAAACAACATAAAACGAACATTAATACTTTCTAATTAAATGGACTTGATATGATTATATGAATTCATAAAAAGAGAAAGTTAAAAAGAAACTAGATATATGGAAATTAAATGTTTATTTGAATTTTCTTTATAATAATTAGCTGATAATTTAGTAATTAATAATATTAATGAATTGCAACAAGTAAACTTTTCTTTATAATTTCAAAATTATACATAGAATAGAAATATATCTACTTGTGAAATTCATTTGTTTTATTATGGAATTCTTTATCGTTAGGAAAGAAGATTCAATACTTATAATTTTCAAATTTTATTCAATAATATATATTGCAAGAGGGCCCTGGATTGTCGATACTTTTCTCCTTATTAAAACATTTTCACATATAGCATTCAATCAAAAAAATCCCAACCAGAGGAACGATAATTCATAAAATTAAACGAACAAGTTTTAATATTTTTCTATGGACGATATTTCTACATTCTGTTTGACTCGAGAAACGCCAGTGAAATAAATCTGGCCTGACTGTGTAAACCTTGAACATTTCGTTATTCGTTTGCATGTTCGCCAAGAACGTCTGAATTGATTTACATGCTCGTATCGTGGGATTAAGGAATTCATTTCCATGCGCAGCACGATGCCCTCAGATAGTATGGATGACATCGAACTGAAAAATATTCAACTCCAATTTCCACCGTTGAGATGTCTATCGAGAGATGACAGTTCCGTGCGAGAGGAGAGGGTTGAAACCGACAAAGGAAGTATTTTGGTGGCTGTGCAAGGGAATCGAGCGAAACCTGCCATTCTCACTTATCACGACTTAGGCCTTAACTGTAAGTAATCCAATTTTTTTTTTTTTTTATTTTTTAACCGTTTGTCTTATAATACCGTGTAAAAATTGAATCGTAAATTCGATCATAATTCAATGAATTCTCGTGATTCCAGTATAGGTTATAATTAATCATACGATTTCAGAATTATTTCCTATCTTTTTTAGATTTTAGATTGCACGATTTAGGGAAGGGTCAAAGGTAAAAAAAAAAAAAAAAAGAAAGAG